ATTAAATTAAAAGAGAACATAATAATCTGAGCATTGAATCCTTGATTACCTGTAATATTAATGAATCCTTTCAAATTGTTGCCTCCAAAACGAATAGACTTCATATTCGAAAGCCTACCAAGGGATGACATTATGCTATTGCTGAAGAGATTACCAATTAAATCAAGCACTTCTAGATTGATCAACCTTAATTCTGTTTCATTATCTGTAAAAGATTTACAAAATTTCATCATTACTTATATCTTAACGTCTTAACATTTTTATATTAAAAGTAATTACATGTTTTCTTTCATAAATATATACCTTGAGATGGAGCAAAGTCATTCACTTCATTACTCCCCATATACAACTCCTCTAAGTTGCTCAAAGCATTTAATTCTAAAGTGATTTACAAATAAAATTAATAAATCATATGAAATGTACATGATGTGATTTAAACCATATATGGAATAATTCATATTTAATAAATTTAGGAGAATAAAAAAATTAAAATAAGGTAGTTTTACCTTTAATATTTATCGCTCCTTTCAATTTGTTTCTTTGTATATACAAAGACTTCAGATTTGAAAGCCTACCAAGGGATGACAATATGCTATTGGTGAAGAGATTACCAGTTAAATCAAGCACTTCAAGTTTGGTCAACCTGAATTCTGTTTCATTATCTGTAGAAGATTTTAAAAACTTCATCATTAATAATATCTTAATATTTTAAAATTTTTATATTAAACATAATACATGTTTCCTTTCATAAGTATATACCTTGGGGTGGAACAAAGTCATTCACTTCGTTATCCCTTATGTACAATTCCTCTAAGTTGCTCAAAGCATTTAATTCTGAAAAGAGTATTAAATTAAAATTAATAAATCATATGAAACCACAAAATGTGGTTTAAACCATATATAAAATGACTCATAATATTTAACACCTTTAGGAGAGTAAAAGAAAACAAGATTAAAATATGGTAGTTTTACCTTTAATATTTATGGACCCTTTCAATTTGTTACTTCCTATATGCAAAGACTTCAAATTTGAGAGCACACCAAGAAATGAGAATATGCTGCTGTTGAAGAGATTTCCACTTAAACCAAGTACCTCAAGTTTGATGAATCTCAATTGCCCTTTTTCTGTAAAAGAGTTACGTAATTTCATCTCCAAAGAAATATTTAATAAATTGACATTCAGTATATGTTTGAAAGGCAAAAATAATTAATTAATAAATAAGATCGACTTATACCTTGAAAGGATCCGAAACTCTCAATTTCATTTCGGCCTAGATACAATTCCTTTAAGTTCATCAAATGACTGAATTCTGTTCAAAACCAATAAAATATATCAGCCACTTATACGGAAGCATGCAGCCAATAAGCGCTTTCACAAATTAAGCAATGAGATTTTAAGAGGAAAAAGAAAAAAAACTTTAAAAGCAAGCCTACATACCCAGCATAGGAATAGTTCCTTGTAATCCACACTCCTGCAAACGTAATGATTTTAAAGATGTAAAACCGTTTAGATGCGACAAGATGTCATTTCCTAATATGTTACCACGTAAATCCAGAGTTTCTAAATTCTTCAACTTTGATAACATATTAATACCTGCCACCAATAATATTAAAAAATTATCAATATTATATATTGGTTGCAAATTCTTTTTTTTTCATGCTCATATGTATGTATACTACTCTTTGTTACACATGTTGCATGGATTTATTTAACATGTAAATTTTAAATTTTTACTTTAAATTTTATTTTTTTAATAATAAAAATAATATTCTAATGAATAAATAATTTATAATGTAAAACATTATATACTATAGATAATTACATTAATTTTCTTTGGTCATTATATATGTTTTCCTTTAACTTTAGCTCTAGTCATCTTAACTAATACTAAAAACAAAAATGAAAAAGACCCTTTTGTCAAAACAAATTAATAGTTGAACTAATAATAAAGAGTAATCTGATTTGTATGTTTAACTTGTTGTTAATAAGTAATATGATGATCAAGTTTGTAGATCATGACTGTCAATTCTTATTCAATCAACATTTAATGATTACATTTTCATGTAAAACACTAAAATTTACTAAATTTCATATAGAAAATCAACGAATTACTCTTAAAAATTTAATAAGTAACTGATAAGAGGCATATATAACTTAAATTAAGCATCACTTAAAATAAATTTAACAAAAAATAGGGCAATGAAAAACATGAATTATCAATACATAGATCCTTCCATCAAGCAATTATTGCTCAATACCAATGAGGCATTTTATTAGGAAGGAGAAGAGAAGGCTCTTAAAGCCTTTCGACCCTAGGTTCAAATTTCAATATGTAAGGGTTTTATCTAATTTTAAAGTCAAATTGTTTCCTGTTACATGCTAGTTTGATTGATTGATTGTTTGTTTATTAACTGGTTAATTTACCTCATTTTAATTTCTTATATCAAATGTAATTATTTATGTCATACATGTTAAGAGTTATTTGGTTGTAATTGCAATTTCTACTTATATCTAACTTCATAAATTTAAAAAAAAAACAATAATTGCTTGATTAGTTACATAATAAAAAAATTGAATAAGTCAAAATTTTAATAATCTATTCAGACATAGCATGCATCAATTAATTATTGAAACATTATATGGTTTAAGTCCAAATTTTCTAACCACTAACTAGCAATATTAATTTGTAAGCACATCTTAAAAAAGATACCAGCAACTGAGAAACATATGAAATTCCTTTAAAAATTGAACCATAATTAATTGTTAATGGTAAAACATTATTTTACTTGCAATAACCAATCCAAAAAGTTATGTACGAAAAAGAACTTGTAAATGTGATTTAGCATTACGATCTATTAGACTGACTTTCTAAATATTAGAGAACCACACACTCTAAGGTTTAGTTTCTATATAAAATCTCCATCCATATTCGTCTATAAAAAAACACATTATTACCTTATTAGTGCTGGTTCATGTGATCATCACTTGAACAAAATAAGTCAATAAAAATACTTTCATATGGAATATACTCACTAAATAGGTTTTTTAGTAATAATCTCAAAAACATTAATTAGATGTTTTAAATATGTATTTGATGACTTTGTGATATATTTCTTAAAACTATAAGGATGATTCTGTGATAGATTCTTAAATAACCATAGTAACATATTTTTTAATTTAGAAGCGAGTAAATTAAATAACATTAAGAATAGACTATTTAAATGTCAACATCTAACTCATAATCAAACCTTAGGACATGCCTTATAATTAGATAAAGATGGTGGTGGGATGC